CTACCGGGTCCGGTCCGGGCCGGGCCTCTTTATATATATATATATAGGGTAAGGTTCAAGTGAGAAGAACCCTTTGGGTGAGAAATGAGAATGAATCTCAGCCATTGGATTCGACTAAGTTGCAATAAAAGACACTTCATGGTGCACTGAAATATGCAATCTAGCACGGTGGCATTTCTGTAAATACTTCTGAAAAATCCGTATTACACGTGTCTAGTGCAACATGAAGCTATTTCGGTGCAACGCTATCAAATATTAGTGCAACATGAAAAAGTTTTAGTGCAGCATGTGCAAAATTTAAATATTACTGCAACATAAAGCCAATTTTAGTGCAACTTCGTAAATCCAATGGCTGAGATTCATTCTCATTTCTCACATTAGATGCATTTCTCACCTGAACCACACACACACACACATATATATATATATATATATATACATATATATATATATATTAATATATATATATATATACATATATATATATATACATATATATATATACATATATATATATATAGGGAATGGTTCTAATGAGAACACCTCTTATTGTGAGAAGTGAGAACACATCTTAACCCACCATCTCATTGAATGAGCGGTTATTAAGTAATTGACTCACAATATAAAGATGGACTTGCTCACATAGTAACATCTCTTGCACAAATGGAAAGTGAGACGTGTAAGTAATAATGGACATTAGAGTAATTTTGTAATATGCATTTAATATAGTAACGAATGTAGGGAACCACTTTCCATAAAAGTAGGTAAAATTAAAATTTCAAATCATATAAAATGCTATTAGTTTAAAATAGATTTATGTTTTTAAATTATAATCCAATTTTATAAAAAATTATATCAAATTAAACAATTTTTTTTATCTTTCATATGATACCAATATCGCATATATAATTTTTTTTTTTGAAAAAATATGTATTATATGTATACAATAAACCACAACAAGTATTTCCAGCTGTCATACACAAAAGAATATCTATCCAATGCACGAAAATCAATATCTAATGCACACGAAAAGTAGTTTTCACAAATAGTTTGTATATAAAGCATCAGAACAAGTATCTTAATCACAAAAAGCAGTATCTAACACCCAACAATTAAGAACTAATATCGAACACATAAGGATTTCATATAATTTAAACTATTATATAATACACATCAACTAGTATCTACATCACAATACATATAACGTTAGAAACTTGTATCTAGCACATAGTATGGACATAGAGAATCACAACAAAATATTATCAAGCACAAGAACCGGTATCTAACACACAACCGCGAATAGTGCATTTTAGTGACACAATAGTGCAATAGTGAATTATACGGATGCATATGAGTGAGAAAAATATGCAAATGTTACATATAATTGTGCATTAGTCCATTGTTAGGATTTTTATTGAATACATTTACAATAAACATATCTTGCTACTGCATAAGAACTCGTATTTAATAACAAACACTCCATGATTAAGATTCTTATCAAAGACCAATCTTTCATCCAATTGTTTAAAAATAATTAAATCATATGCAAATTATGCTCTACATTAGAGTAATTGTGTGTCACTTTATGTCAATTGTGCATTATTAATAGATTATGCACATTAGAATAAGTATGTTAGTTATGCACTATAATCAATTGTGCATACACATTATTTAGAATCATTGAAAAAACGCCAAGTACCTTGTGGTCTGATGGCATCACTGTGTCACTCCCAAAGAGGAGGTCACATGTTCGAATCTCATCCCAGTTCAAGGATGTTGGCATTAAAATTGAGCAGATAGTATATAGGTTAGAAAGAATTGTCCCAAAAAAAAAGAATCATTGAAAAAACTGATCTCTAAAATTAAATAGTGCGGCATATCATATACTTCCTCCGTTCCTTTTTAAATAATTAAATGCAACGTTCCACTTTTCACGTTTGCCAATGCACAAGTTTGACCATTAATACATTTCATTCCTTATTAGTAAAAAATATTAAAAAATTAGATTTTGAAAATTTAAAATGAGAGGAATTTAAAAATTTTTTTTTTAAATTTAATATATAATACATTAACAAATAAAATTGAGTCAAAGTAAAACATGTGAATAGTGTAAAAAGTCCAATGTTGCATTTAAAAAAGAACGGAGGAAGTATACGGTGCATGGTTTATTTTTTACTCGGATTTGTTATCACAATATTATTTGTTATGAGAGACAAGATTCCAAATCTTTAATTGCAATTAAAGTGAAGGAGAAAGATAGTAATTTCTTTCCAGAAATAATTGTAAGCATTAACTAAAATGAGATGAACGGAAGTGTTACCAAAATATTGTTAAGTGATTCATTACCAAAATACCCTTAAGTGGGAGTGCAATCTTAAATAACGAAGCTTTAGAATGGATGGTTAAGATTTGTTCTCATTTCTTACGTTAAGAGTTGTTCTCATTTGATCCACAATCTATATATATATACATATATATATATATATATATAGGGAGTGGCTCCAATGAGAACACTCCTTATTGTGAGAAATAAGAACAAATCTTAACCATACATCTTAGTAAATTAAAGGCCTAAAATGGATGAGATACACGGATATACTGTAGAAGTGCATGCATTAAAAAATAACCTCCACTCTCCAATTCAACCGTAAGTTAAAAGAAGGGCACAGCAGTAATTTTTCATAAAAATCTTTAATGCCTATCGTTGGAGGTTTGATCGATTTCCCTAAAAAGTAGCTAAAAATAAATACTTAAAGCATTTCAAATGTTTTACTTTAAAAACTGATTTAACTTTTAAAATTATAATCCGATTTTAACAAAAATTATATCAAATTAAATAATTTTTTTTTTATCTTTCATATGACACCAATATGTCATATATAAATTTGCTATAAAAAATTAAGTATAATATTTATACAATAAATCACAAAAACATCTACAGCTACCGCATGCATAAGAATATGTATATGACACACAACTACTACTATCTAACGCACAAGAAACATAATCTAGCACACAATATGTATAGGAAAAGCTAAAACAAGCATCTTAAGCACAAAATCCAATATCTAATGCACAAAGAACAATATCTTACACACAAAATTAAAAAGTAATTAATATCTAATGCGTAAGGATTTCACACAACTTAAACTAATATATAACACACAAGAATCAATATCTAATGCACAATACGAATATACACCCAATAACTAGTACCTAACACATAATATATGTATATATAATCACATTAAGTATTTACCGCACAAGAATCGATATCTCACAAACAACCAATATTTTAAGCACATGAACCGGCCATCTTATTATTAGGTAGGATATAACACACTACAATTGCTATTTGATGCAAATTAAAATAAATGAATAGAAAATAAATTACAATTTGAAAGGAGACTAACGTGATGGACAAATTGAACAAAAAGGAATGATATTTTATATCTATGCTTGGATAGCTCAATTGATGTGACAAGATAAAATAAAATATTCAATATGATATGGAAGTTATTCTTTCCATTAGTAAACCGTAGGAATTAGGAAGGTAATAAATAAATCGTCGGTTACCAAAACTGCCAAACATATGTTAGACGAAAACAGCCCTTACTACCATTAAGTTGATCGCAGATCGATTTAGATTTTGGACGGATGAGATTTGTTCTCATTTCTTACGTTAAGGTGTGTTCTTATTTGAACCAAAGTCTATATATATATATATATATATATATATATATATATATATATATATATATATATATATATATATATATATACTCCCTCCGTCCCAGGGAGAAGTTCCCGGGCTGACTTTCACACATTTTAAGGAAATAAAGTTACTGAGGGGTAAATTTTACTGTTTGGCACTGTTTGGCACTGTTCCGACACTGTTTTGCACTGTTTGACACTGTTTTGATGTAGAATAAATTTCCATTTAGGGAAATGGGAACTTTTTGTTAGGACTGCCAAAAAAGGAAAGTGGGAACTTGTCCCTGGGACGGATGTAGTATATTCTTTGCTTTTTCTAATTAACCCTCGACCCCCCCCCCGTCACCACCCACCCCCCCTCCAAACACCCAGACCAACCCGTTGGAATACAAAAAAATGAAAAAACAAAAAAAAAAACGATGTCGGCCCGAACGGGACCCGGCCGGGCCGGGTCTCATTTTGGCAGCACCATGCTCGAAACCGTCTCCCCATCGGGCCGGGTCAAATCCCGGTACCTGGACCGGTGAACCGGGCCGGTCCCGGGCCCGCACAGTAGCGGGCCGGGCCGGGTCACAGGCCAGGTGGCTCGACCCGAGTCCACCACTAGTTAGGGGCATGTGATGGGAAGGTATGGTAGGTGGTTGGGGTAGGGTGGTAAGGGTGGGGTTGGGATCAGGGTGGGGCCAAGATAGGGGCAAGTGGTAAGGAGTGGGGTAGGGTCATGGTCAGGGGTAAGGTACGAGGATGGAGGTAGTGGGTATGGTGGGGTCGAGGTAGTAGGGTTGGGTGGGGGTGGGGGTAGCGGGGGTAACGATTGGGTAAGGGCAAGGAGTACATTCGGAAACTAAAAAAGGTTAAAGTGCCGCTTAATTAATACATGAGGGGTGATATGCTTAGTAAGCGGCATTAAGCACATCTTTCAGTTAGTAAGCGGCTTTTTAAGGAGCGTGCGTGTTTACCTCATGTGTCTTACTAAGCTAACTGTGACTTTTGCAGCGAAGTAAACACCTCCTAAACCTTCTCCCAGGTTATTCAAAAAAGGCGAGAAGCATATTTAAGTTGTAACTCTGGTTTATTGGGCCGTCAATGCATTTTATAAGCGCCTCACTGAAAGGCTCACCAAGGTGGTTTTTTATTTTCTGCATTTGAGAACTAGTTATATTATACTAAGATTCTTATTTTGGGCCCCCAATTTTTTTGGGCCTTGTGCGGTCGAGCTGCCCACCTGGCCACCCATGCTCTGGGCCGGCCCTGGCCGAATTTATATATCACAAGGGAGTCTGGTACATTAAACCCTTAAAAGTTGGCCCAATTGAGTATGGAGTAGCATTTTCTTTTATACTTTCTTGTCCCAATGAATAAATTAAATGCTCTTTCCACTCTATTTAATCCTTCGTACGACACATGCCGTATTGCCGTTGAAGATGAATGTCACTTACACAAACTAGGTTTACAATACTATTTACAAATCACTTATCAAAGTTAACAATTTAACATCATGGGAGGACAAGGAAATAAATCCATGTATTTCCTCCCCTTATTTATCAACATAAACATCGAGCTTGCTTTGCTAGACACTGTGCAAGTTATTCAGGATGTCTTATTTTACCGAGATGTAAGCTTCAAAAGAACCTTTGACCATATATATAGTTGTAGGAATGGTGTTACAGCCTGGGAGCAACACGTGGAGCATCCCATGGAGTTACGATGTGGTTACGGGTGATTTCATCGATGGTTCGACAGCCGCTCAAAGCCATTGTCAGCTCAAACTCGTCATGGAGCATCTGCAGAACTTTTCTTACACCTGCCTCCCCATTGACAGCCAAGGAAAACACAACAGGCCTTCCTATCTGCATGTTTTACAATTGCCAACGAATTATATTACCCGATTTGAGGTGAAGCTTTTCTTGACATAATTGGGAACATAATGGTGCAAGAACTGCATTCACTTACAAATATGCCGGATGCTCCAAGAGCCAGTGCTTTGAAGACATCAGTTCCACGCCGAACTCCTCCATCAAGGAAAACAGGAACTCTGCCTTGTGCAGCTTTGACAACCTAAAATGTGGTGCTGTTTTAAATTTAACTTACTCATGCAAAAGATCAAGGTGTAATGTTGACCTCACAACAATATATTAGACTCAAATCTAGCAGACAAAAAACATGGGAACCAAACCAAAATGTTCATTCTAGTGATAAAGATATACTACCTCTATTCCATATTCTGTTATAATTTTATTAGTCATTGGTCAACTCAATTCTTTTTTCTTCTCTGATTTTGAGTGTCAATTTTTTATAGTTCCGAGTTCTGTTCATGCACTTCAATAGAACTTTTAGTGTTGTTTTAATTAGTAACACAGATTTAGATATTGAGTATTATAATTATCAAGACAAATTAAAATGTTGCTAGGGAATTAACTGTTTAAACCACACAAATTCACAACAAATATTGTTAGGGAAGAATTCAAAACCACAAATTGTGACACAGTATCGAACTAAGGGAGTACTTCACGATGTTCCAAAAGGCACGTGTCACTAAACAACTACAGGAGTTGGAGTCTGAGGTCCCAACCTTAAAACGTCGACAATGAAGTTCTGAAGTCAATCTACTATATGGTACGTGATAATTAAATAATTCTCAACGTGGGATACTTTAAACAACATAAGAACAGGGGTAGGAGTTTCAACCTTAAAACCTGAGCAATATGTATACAAATCTCTTCTTTTAAATGGTGATTGATATGAAGCTAAAACACTAAGAAGTATAGAGCACAAACTAACCTCTTCCAAGGCCATAATAGTAGCAGGGGAGTAATCGAGTTGCCTAGCACCATGGTTCGATACAATAATCCCAGCTGCCCCATTTTGCACAGCTAACTTTGCTGAACTTGTTAAGATTCACAATCATAAGAAACGTTCAGATGTCAACATATAGAAGGGAAAGTTTTCTCAAAACATTAAAAAATTCCTTAGACAAGGGTCTTCACACAAATAACCTCTACTCCTGGGAGTAGAGGTAGTAAAGTATGCATAAATCATCCTTCACCAGACCCTACTTCCAAGAACATACTGTATTTCATTGGTTTGGTTTGGTTTGGTTTATCTTAGGTAAGGTCTAGTAAGTGTTAAGAATTAAACTACGCAACACGAAAAAACAATATGAAGAACACACGAAATTTGGTAACCCAGTTCGCCACAAATGACTACGTCTGGGGCGCTACCAAGTCAGGATATTGCTATTAATTTCGGATCAATGATTACAAGGAGAGAGCTTGTATTTATAGAGAGTAAAATCAAACCCTTAACGCTAATAGGACGCGCGTGGCCCAGTCTGGAATAAATAAAGAATTGCGGCCCATAAAAAATGGACCCAAAAAATTTCGGTATGGGCTTGGTTATACAGTCTCTAACACATTAGAGTAAGTAGTAATTCAACGTGATGTTATCAAGTATATTTTTAGTGTGTATGTTCATTGGACTTAGATTTGATTATATTGCATCACATTTCATTACATTTTACCAAACAACATCATAATATATAAATCATCAGGTTATACTCTTAATAATCATATGACATAGTGACATACCATCCTCTGCGGTTAATACACCCTTCACCAGAATTGGCAGTGTAGTTATTGTCTGCAGCCATTTCACATCCTGTCCGAAAGTGAAGAAGCAATTCACATAGCGATGTTTGTGATATAGTTATTGAAAATCCATCAACTTTTGATTACTCCAGAATCTAACCTTCCAGCTAAGTGACCGGTCAACTTGACTTGCAACGTAGGATGCAAGTCCAGAGTCATTCGTCTGTAGAGCCGGACAATGCAGACTATTAGCAAAATAAGCAGTACGAGCCTAAAATAAAAGTTCACTTTTCAACAGCTACTTACCTTATCCATTTTCCCTAGGTCCAATCCCACAAAATTCTTGAGTGTCAAATGAGGAGGCAAAACAAACCTGTTTATGGAACCAAGTTAATATTAAAAACCCGATTCTTATCCCAGTGATTGAAAGTGTTAACATCCATAGTTGAGGCCGGCTTAAGCCCAACCTCATTCTCAATACTAGCATCCACTGCTCTTAGATAGTATGCGTACCTATTCTTAATATCAGCTTCCCTTCGCCCAAGAATCGGTGTATCTACTGTGAGGACGATTGCCTTGAAACCGGCCCTTTCAGCTCTTTTAACTAATTGTGTAACGATATTCCTGTCTTTGTACACCTGAATGTGGCATGCCAAGTTAAAATGCCAAACACTTCACCACAGAACAAAAGAAATGATTGACAGGGAAAAAGTAATACTCAAGAAAAGGCAGTCTGGTGCATATTGGCATCCCAGCAAGGAGAGGGTCCGGGAAGTGTCCCACCACAACGGTGTATAGGGGGCAAGCCTTCCCATGTACATTTTTTACAAGAGGCTGCTCCCAAGACTTGAACCCCTGATCTAGTAAAGTTGTAATACTCTCCTCTCCCAAAAAGAAAGAGAGCCTGGTTTTCAAAGTCAACTTTACTTTTTAAGTAAAGTTTCTGTAGAGGCAAGCACCAATGGGTATTAGTCACTTATACTGTAGAAATCTTGGGAATACGTTTTAGGGGTAAAACTGACCATTCAGAACTTGTAAAAGCTTGTACCTTAATTGAGTTGAATAAGAAATAATAAAAATTTGAACATTACGCAAACATGACTCTTCTTTATGTTGGGAGTTGGGAATGGTGGACTTAAACATGCACAGAAATTGAAATCCTTAAACTTACATAGAGCTGGAAAAATCTAATTCCAGGTCCTGTGGAAGCAACCTCTTCGACACTGGAAGTAGCCCATGAAGAAAGCGTCTAAAATCACCAATCAGACAACAGCATAGCTCATCAAAATGCTTAACCACTCTGCGGCAAATGTTGAATAAAATAAATAACAGAATGGGTAAAACAGGAGCAAATGCATCCAAACCATTATTGTTCCTGCAGCTGAAGCTGCTCTGGCAGTAGCATATTCTCCTGCACCATTTGAAAACCCAGTTTTTTTAAATAAGATAAACTAGTTTAAGAGAGGAAAATGAAAAGAAATACAGGAAAAAGGATTTAATTTTCTATAGCCATCTTCTGTATACCTTCAGGATGAGCCATTTTTTGCATAGCAGTGGGAGCAACCATGATGGGCATAGAAATCTTGAATCCCAATACAGTTGCGGTGGTATCAATTTTACTCACATCCACAAGAATCCGTGGTCGGAATCTATGTATCAATTATTAAGTCCATTTTCAGAGTCCAAAAAGTTGATATTAAAGAAACATAAGCATATAATGAGTGTTATTATTATATTAATAATAAAACCTACAGAATCCTAGAAAATGCATTTTGGTTCTCTTTGAGAGTCCATTGGTCTTCTGCACCAGAGGCATAATAATCATAAACCATTTTTGGCAATTTCTCCTTCGCAATGACTTCATATTCATTAACATTTGTTATAGTCTCCATGTTCTGGAATTGATATCACCTGAGCACATAAACATCCCTTGTTACTCACAGAATTGAGGAGTCAAGAATAGTATCATCCAAATGAAATGGAATCGATAGAAGCACACAAATCCCTTGTCATGTTCTTGAATTGCTATTTTTGCCCCTAACCCCCCCCCCCCCCCCCCTAGTAACTCCTGATCGTTCCATAGATACAGTTTCCTGACTATTTGCATCATTCAGTTAGTTTACACAATCAAATTCTAATCCATATAAGGAGTACTAAAATCAGTTTGCCCAGTTCGGCCAGCCGGCAGATGTGATGAGCTGAATCAGAAACAATAGATTAAAAGAAACATATCAAAATAATTAAGCACAAATGGTCAATAAAACATGGAAGCTAGTAACCTGAGAAGATAAAAGAGGAAGGGGGAGTAGATAAAACCTTTGCGGGTGGTCAGCAAGACACAAATGGGTGCATGGAATGAAATTCTCCTCTTAAATCCAAGAGAATGATTGATGGCGGGTGGAGGGTCAGTTTCACGGAGTGAGAAATACTCGTAATACACTTGGAGGTTTAGTCTTCTTTCCTTTTTGGGACGTTTTTTTTTATCTTTCCTCCTTTCCATTTAAGGAAAGTTTTTACTTTAAATATACCTTTATACCCTCACTTTTATTACCATTACCCTTTTCTCTTTCCTACTTTTTCATTTACCCACTACTCATTACACATTTTTACACTATCCCTACTACTTTACTCTTAAAACCGGTGCCAAAGCCTAAGGAGACTAATAAAAAAGAACGGAGGGAGTAACTTTTTGTACACGAAATACACACATACACATTTTTACATTTGTCCGTGAAGGCTATTTTTTGTCTGTGAAAACACTGAGTGTTTTCAAAATAAATAACTTAAAATTGAGACTATGTCTACACATACTCGGCGTTTAATGCATCCAACCTCATTTGTGATTAGGGGTGTGCACCGGTCCAAAACCGGACCGGACCGGAACCGGTTAGGACCGGAACCGGAATCATCATTTTACATGGACCGAAGACCGGACCTGATACTTACCAGTCCAGACCGGCCCGAACCTGAATTTTCCGGTCCGGTCCGGAAAATGCATAATTGAACTAATTATGCATAATTGAACCCGGTATTTTAAAAAATGCATATTATCTAAATCGTTGTTTTAAAACTTTAAACTTATGTGCTAAATAGACTAAATAGTTTTTATGAACTAATTTATCAATTTAGACATATAATTATCAAGGTACAATTAATTTCCCAAATTAAATCATGAGTTTAAAAAAATAAATTTTTCCCAAACTAAAATGGCAGAATGTGAGTAACTTGATAAAAAAACTAAATCACATGCATGTTCAACAATATACTACTCCGTACGTATTAACTACGGAGTATATCAGTGGTACACTATTGCAACAAGGAAACAAATCAAAAGCCAACACACTAAGCTTTTAGCCAATTAGCATTGTAAAAAGAAAACATGTATACTAATGGTATTGGTGGGTGTTGTGCAGGGGCGGACCCAAGAAGTTTGTATTGGGAGGGCGGTAACTTAAATAAAATATTTTTTGGGAGGGCGAAAATTATTTTTTATTATATATATACACTAAAAAATTTTTTGTTGGTGGGGCGACCGCCCCCCTGGGTCTGTACTACGGTCCGCCCCTGGTGTTGTGCTTGGTGGTGTAGCAGTTTCATTAATGTAAAATATATACTCCATATATTTATATATAATACTACGAGAAAAGAAGAATGCATGCCCTAAAACATAATGACTAATGATACATAACAAGGTAAATTTTTTACATAGTAATAATTTAACGGGTTACCGGTCCAGACCTGTTTTTTCCGGGTTTGACCCGGACCGGACCGGAACCCGGAATCATGAAAATCATAGGACCAAAACCCGGACCTGTTAATATCAGTCTGGTCCGGACCGGTCCATTCCGGTTCAGGTCCAAATTCCGGTCCGACCCAGTTAATGCACACCCCTATTTGTGATATATAAATTCACATATTAATCCTTTATGATTTTAAAAATGTGTAAAATCTCTTTGTTTTATCATCTTATAAGCGTAGAACTCCCTCTGAGAATAAATTTAACAATTTGAAAATTACTTGACTTAATATTATGATTGATCTGCTATTAAATTTGTCAAGATCTCTATATTATATAAAAATACTAATTATTTTTCATTTTCTGGCAATTAAATTTACTCTTGGAGGGGGTTTTGAGGATAAATAATTATAACACAGGGGAGTTCGAAGCATTTTTTTAAATCACAGGGGACTAATGCACCGAATTTATATATTATAAGGAGGTTTGATGCATTAAACTCACATATAATCACTAAGAGTTTGTAAACTACAGAAAAAATCAGTGTTGGTCCTAAGAAAAAATAAATAAATTAGAATTGAGATTTGAGACCATGCCTTCAGATAATCACTACGAGTAGATTTTAGTTTTGGTCCTGGAATATCAACTTTATTTTCACAATTGGTCCACATCTTTGATGTTGACCACTTTTGATATATGACTATTGTTTTTTTTTGCTCATATATGATCTTTCCGTTAATAGTTTTGATAGTTAAAATTGTCGGAGTAGCGTCAAAGTATTGGGCGATAGGACACAAATGATCAAAAAATATTAATCAAGTACCACTTCTGTCGCAAATTATTTTGCAAAGTCGACATTTTTTTATTAACCGATGTTAAAGTTTAATCCTCCATGTTGATAATTGATGGAACTAATTGTCCTGATCGAGTAAATTAAGAAATTAGAGCGGACAGACACTACTAGAAAAAGAGCCTACAGTGACACTAATTTAGTGTCATTGAAACTTTCTGCGACACTTAAAAAGCGTCAGGGAAAGAGGCGGCTAGCGACACTAAATATAGTGTCAGTGACGAGGGGACGGTTTTGTGTCAGCAAATAATGACACTAAGTTGTCGTCTAAAATAGCGACATTTATGCATCAAGAACACATTGTGACATTAATACATCGCAAAATTTAATGACACTCTAGCATCATAGATTTTTGTGACACTTTAGCATCATAGCTTTTTATGACACTTTTAGCATCATAAATTTTTATGACACTTTCAGCATCATAGATTTTTATGACACGTCAAAGTCACTTGGCTGGTTTTGTTTATTGGGCCTATTAGGCCTAGATTTTACTGTTTATTTCATTCATAAATATTATAACATCCAAAAGACTAGATACCAATCTGTCTCATAACATCCAAAAATTAATGAATACCCAAAACACATCATTTAACATATAATATTAAGTAACACTTTCACATTCTTGTTCAATTACATTTCCTACCGCCGGATAAAAGATGTAGCAAAATTCCAACAATATTCCAACAAAATTTCACAATGTGTCTCAATTACATTTACTTCATTCATGTGTTGTATTCTTTTGATGTTTTTAAGAATCTATGCAGGGCGCATCCTTCTAAAAGGGGACAATATCACACTGATGATGAACATGTATGTGAACACACTCTAAAACAACTATCTTTAAACTAATAGTAATGACTAGATTGAACTGAAATATTGCCTTTCTTTTTGTTCAGGGGGAAGTAGCATCTTTCTTAAAGGAGCAGTTAGCATATCTTTCAATCCATATTTTTGTCTCTCTGATGCCTTATGGTCCCTTTGAACTTCCAACCAATGTATTCTAAGGTATTTAGTAGATGAAGATGATGTTTGCTACCATTGTTGTGGTACTTGTTCAGCCTTTGTACACTTAAGCTGTGGAGAGTATGACCATATTCAAGCTCCAGTGGAGTTTCATATCAATCTCAAACTTCAGAGTAACTAAAAAACCTACCCAATAAAGTTAGGAAGTGTGGAGAGTATGACCATATTCAAGCTCCAGTGGAATTTCATATCAATCTCAAACTTCAGACCAAAAACAAAACAAAACAAAATAAAACAAATAGCAATAACAAGAGAAAAATATCCAACACTGATTTCAGACAGACAAAAGTTGACTACTACTCTTATAAGGGGGGAACTTAACATGCAGGAAAGAAAAACATAATAAAAACATAATGTGGGAGCATTATTGGAAGGACTATTGGAAGGACTTCATTATTAGATGGTGAATTTGAAGGATTACTAAGGGAGGAGCACTAGTAGAAAACTGGCTTACAATGACACTTTTATAGTGACACTTTTTGATTTAATGTCACTAGTAACATAAAAGTGTCACTGTTTTCTAACACAAATGTATCAACAACACTTAATGACACTCAAACATTTTTACGGAGTAAAATTTAAAGCTTGCGTAAGTATTTGGGCCGCGGGCCTGCGAAGTTTAATACGGAGTATACATATTACAGAGTAATAAGACTTCGGTACTTAGGCTTTTCTTTCTCCCTCAAGATTGCCCTTTTCTCTTTGAGCCCTAGCTTCTCAATCGATGAAGAGACCCCTCACAGGATGAAGACGATGCCGTTGCTGCTCCCGACGACTTCGACGTAGACGCCATGGCCGCTGCTCCAGACGACTTTCAGAGAGGTCTCCACTGCCCAATACAGTATTCCTGGTGGCGAATCGGCGATTATTCCTGGGCTCCTAGCAGCGACTCATCGAGTATTTCTGGAAGAGTTGAAGCATGGGACTATAGGAGAGGCAGCGGGCGGGTGCGGGCCAATGGGTTTGCGTTTCTCAATGGCCTCTAAAGAAAGCCAGTTCCATATGTTTACTCATTTTGAAAACCATTTTCCTTTTCTGATACTAAAAGGTATTCATCAATTAGCTCCTTGTGAGTTCTTATATGGAAAAATATTCATTATGAGTAATTAATCTTTTTTAATGCAAAGAGAGGTTTTTTATAAGTTAGTTTAGCACTTTAGCCCGAGAATACTAGTGATGAACGGTTAGTAGCAAATGCTACTACCGAGGTAGCTGCTTTGGTTTCATCTGCCTTGTTTAAAAGGCCACTTAGTGTGGCTAAAACTCAGTAGCAGTGTTGTTTATAGTTTCTCTCTTTGTTTCTAGTTTTTTCCACTTTTTTTGAAATGTTTGTAGTTTGCTTTATGATAGGTTGTTGAGTGGATGTGTAGTACTTTTACCCCAGTTCACCCGTTTGCTTGCTGGACTGAAAAAAACTCCATAGTTTATTTTTCTTGCTTCAGAATTGTTACTATTTAGAATTATTGCTTGCTGGGATTATTGTTCTGAGAATATGAATCTGCATATCATATGGGGGTTTTTCTTTTTACATTTATAATTTGCATAACACTACTAGTTCTGTTTATTTACCAAACAATTATTATACTTTTGGAAAAAAGAATATTGAATCAAACTTCTGAATTTCAGGTGGCAGAAACTAACTACTCAACCATTTCTCATTATCCAATCACATATTGAGCTTAGAGGACTCAACTTACTCTGCCAAAAGGGACAACTTGCAAAGTCATATATCTAAACTCCAACTTTCAGTGTGAATGCAGGTCATATTAATTATATATATAAGTAATAGAGGTGTGGTAGACTCAAATGATCTCCCGTTG